CCCCCCACACCCCCAACCCGCCTCAACAGCTCCCTGGGCCGGAACGTGCACGTCAGCAGCTGCGCCCTGCCCTCCTCCCCCTCCTCCCCGCTCTCCTCCCTGCCCTCTCTGTCTCTCGCATCCTCCTTGCTCTCAACTTTCGTCTCCTCCTTGCTCTCATTCCCCTTCTCACTCTCATGCTCATTTTTCGCCTCGTGTGTCTTCCCCTCGGCGTCCCCAGTGGCGTGGTCCAACGGCGCGGCGTCGATGACGATCTCCGCGTGCCCGTTCGCCGGCGCCGGCACGGGCGGGGAGGAGGAGTAGGACGACCCCGAGGAGCTCGAGTTCGAGGAGTGCGAGGCGGGCGGGTCGGGGAGGGATCTGTGTGCGATGGGCGTGATTAGCATGTGTTTGGAAGGGTTTAGAGAGGGAGAGAGGAGAGGAGAGGAGAGAACGGAGGAGAGGGGGGAGGCGCGGGGCGCGGGGCGCATGTATCGTGCCGATTGGATAGCGGACAGATGGTCGAAAGCAATCAAGGAGCGCCGCGTGTCGAAGGAATGAGGGGAGACGAGAGGGCGGGAGACACGAAAGTGGGGAAAAGGAGGGGGAGGCGTGGATACATGTCGCGCAAAATGGTAGGGAAGGAGGAAAGTCGGCTGGAGTGGGTGGTCGATATGAGAGAATCAAGCAGGAAACAACGAAATCCCAGCCCGCACGCCATGTGCACGGGAGACACATAGACGCATATCGCGTCAATCGGGTTGTGGAGGACGGAAATCAAGGCGGGTCGAGTGTGCAGGGGGGACAATTGAGGCGAGAGGCGCGTGTGGGGGAAAGGAGGATAAAGGGCGCATATATCGTGTAAGATGGACGGATGAGAGGAAGGAAGGAAGAGAGAACAGGGGGCAAGGGCGAAAGGAAACAAGAGTGCAGGACGCGAGGGAGGGAGGGAGTATATATCGTGCCAACAGGAGCGGACGCTCGATACAGCGGAATGAGGGGTGGAATGGAATGATCAAAGCGGGAGTGTGTGGAGGGGAAAAGCGAGCGGAGCGGAGGGCGCGGGAGACGAGGGACGGGATGAGGGATAAAATGGGCGCATGCATCGAGGTAAGGGGACGGGGGTATCAGGAAATCAGGCGCATATATCGTGCCAATTGGAGTGGATGGCCGATATGAGGCGCATCAGGAAAGGGATGACGAAATGAAAATCAAAGCGGGTCAAGCGCGCCGAGGAAAACGGGAGGGACGTAGAGGGAAAGGGAGGGAGGGAAGGAATGGGCGCATATGTCGGGCGATTGAGTGGTAGATGAGGGAATTAGGGAGGGAATGTCGAAAAAAAAAAAATCAAAGCGGGGTGTATGTGCGCGGGAGTTTAGAGAAGATTGAGAGAGGGAGGAGAAGAAGAGGAGCAAATATGGACGTATATCGTGCCAATTGGATCGTTACGAGGGAAATGGGGAGGGATTGATAAAAATCAACGTGGAGAGGACGCGTAGAGGGGCGTTCCAGCGAATAGAGGAAGCAGAAGGGAAGGGAGGGGAGCAATTATGGGCGCGTATATCGTGGTACTCGGATACCGGGCGGACGATCGAGGGAAGTAGGGAAGGGACGATAAAATAAAATAAATCACAGCCCGCACAGCCCGTGTGCACTGGATTAGGGAGGAAGCAGGAGGGGATCAAGGGAGGGAGGGAAGGAGGGTGAGGGAAGGAAGGACGGAAGGAGAAGGAGGGGAGAAGGAGGTCGTGTGAGGCACGGAATTTGGGTATGTGCCCGGAATAAATCGGTACGAAAAGGGAGGGAGGTACGAAATGGGGCGACTCGGGGCGATGCGAACGAGGGAGGGGCAGTGGGGTCGGCAAGGAATAGGCGACAGGGATGCGAACAATCGAAGAAAAAGAAAAGAAGTTCGGGGGACATCGCAAAAGGGGATGGGGAAGGGGAGGGAAGGGCGAGAAAGGGGCCAGGCGCGGGGACGGGCGGGGGGTGGGGGAGGAACGGGGAGGGTACGTGGAGAGGTGCAAGGGTAGGGTGCGCGGGAGGGGAGAGAAAGAAGGGGCCACGACGGGCGGCACACGACTCGCCCAACTCGCGCCAGAAAACAAACGAGAAACAGAACGAAGCACTCACATCTCCATGGGCACAGTCCGTCCCCGCAGACATAGTGAAGAACGAGCCGTCGGTGCTGCTCGAGCCTGCGGACGGCGTGCCGAGGGGCAGGCCCACCGTCTGGATCGCGACGGCGCCCGCGCGGTGGTGCACGGGGTGCATGTGCTTCGCGGCGTCGCCCTCGTCGAGCGTCGCGATCGGCGGCAGGTCCCGCTCGCCGCTGGGGTCAGACTCGCCCCGGACGATGCGCACGTCGGGGTCGACGTCCATGGGGAGCAGCTCGTCCTCCTCCTCGTCCTCGTCGTCGGAGAAGTCGTCCTCCTCGTCCTCCTCGTCCTCGGACGAGAACGCCGCGGGGGCTGGTGCGGCGCGCGGGGCGGCGGGGGCGAGGTCGTCGTCTGCGACGACCCAGACGAGGCCGCGGAAGCGCGGGGGGCGGCGGCGGGCGGGGGCGGCGAAGAAGGTGTTCTGTGCGTGGTTGTCGCCCTCGAGGCCGTGGAGGAACGGGGAAGAGCACGCCGTCGGGCGGGTGGGCGACGATGTGCGCGGTGTGCATCGCCGCGAACTGGGCGGCGGAGAGGCACCTTGGCGGCGGGGCAGCTGGGCAGCGCGGGCAGCGCGGCGAGCGCGGCGGGCGGGTGCACCAGGCCGTGCGGCGGCGGGCCCCGATTTATGGTCGTCGGCGTCGTTGCCGGCGGCGCTGAGGAGGCCATCGTCGACGTCGTTCGATGAAAGTACAGACTTGCCTATTTTGGTCTGGTATCATATCGCACTGCCTCGTGCCCTCCGATCAATCACCGCATCACTGCTTCTATACTTTCATTAGCCCACGGATGCGGATGTATTCTGGGGTAAGAAATTGGTTATCTCCGCTAAACTAATTACAGGAATCCACCGTTCCCCTGGTCCCCCATTCGAAAACTGCGAAGTCTTCTCTCAAACACACCTCGGTCCAACTTACTTCCCAGCAACCTGTCACCTCCCAGGCCAACTGCCAGCTGCCGTCATCCCGGGACCCGCGCGCGCTTCCTCGCATCACATCCTATCACGTCGCGCTAAAATATCGGTTCTGCGGCGAAGAGATCTTCCTTCTGATCGGGGACCTCGAAGCCTGGGCCAGTAAGGCACCGATAAAGCCTCTTTCCCTTTCAGTTTTGGATCACCCACTCACTGGCGGAAGTGTATTGCTTCACCTATCCAAGGTCCGCACTGAGGGAATAAGGCTCGGTAACGGAGGGTCCGCATCTGCTTTCAATGACATCTTTCGGTGGTTGTGAACGTAATGCAGAGCACACCTGTTCGACTCAGGCCCGAGCCATTCACCTCTTTCTTTAATTCTTTGCCATCTCATCCAATAAACTCAACTATTTAACTAAGTCCCGAACTAAGGAAATGAGACTCGGTGGCGGACGGTCCGCATCTGCTTCAAATAGGATAGTAACTCAGTCCACATTATGCAGAGCAAGCCTGTTCGACTCAGGCCCGAGCCATTTGGTATTGTCCCGACATTTTTCTTTTTTATCTCATCCAATAAACTCATCCACCTACCCAGGTTCCAGAGTAAGCAAACAAGGCTCAGTAGCGGAGGGTCCGCATTTGCATACAATATTGTGTTGTCTTGCCTGACAGTTCATGCAGAGCAAGCCTGTTCGACTCAGGCCCGAGCCATTCGCTGGTTCTCCCTTCAATTTTTGTCATCTCATCCAATAAACTCATCCACCTACCCAGGTTCCAGAGTGGAGAAATAAGGCTCGGTGGCGGATGGCCCGCAGTTGCTTTCAATACTCTTGGAACAGAATATACATAGTAGAGTCCGCCTGTTCGACTCGGGCCCGAGCCATGCGTTCTTTCTTAGAGTTTTATTTTGGGTCACCATCTCATCAAATAAACTCACCCACTTATTCAGCCTCAAGGATAGGCAAATGAGGCTCGGTAGCGGAGAGTCCGCATCTGCTTTCAATGGGTTGTAGTTTGTAAACATAATGCAGAGCAAGCCTGTTCGACTCAGGCCCGAGCCATTCACTGTCATCGGTTAACCTTTTTAACAAAGACCCAATAAACCCACCTATCTATCCAGGCTCAAGGGTAGGGAAATAAGGCTCGGTAGCGGAGGGTCCGTATCTGCTTATTATAATTTCCCGATCTGATAGCTTATGCAGAGTCCGCCTGTTCGACTCAGGCACGAGCCATCCTCTGTCTTGACTCAATCTTTTCTGCATCTCATCCAATAAACTCACACCTACCCAAGTTCAAAAGTAAGGAAATAAGGCTCGGTAGCGGAGGGTCCGCATCTGCTTCAAATATGTTGTGGGCTAATACAATTCATGCAGAGCAAGCCTGTTCGACTCAGGCCCGAGCCATTCTTGTGTCTCACAATTTTTTTTTTAGGACACCATCTCAGCCAACAAACACACCCATCATGATCTACCCAGGCTCTAGGGCAAGGAAATATAGAATGCAGAGTATGCCTGTTCGACTCGGGCCCAAGCCATTCCAGAGCTCATTCTTCTATCTCCATCTCATCCGTGAAACTAACACCTTACCAAGTGCAAAAGTAACGAAATAAGGCTCGGTAGCGGAGGGTCCGCATCTGCTTTCAATATGACTGTCATTTGTGAATGTAATGCAGAGTATGCCTGTTCGACTCAGGCCCGAGCCATTCACTGGTTATCAGTTATCCTTTTTAACAACGACCCAATAAACTCATGCACTTCACCAGGTTCCAAGCTAGGGAGCTAAGGCTCGGTGGCGGAGGGTGCGCATCTGCTCAAATTATTGATGGTGAACTATAACAGCAGAGTCCGCCTGTTCGACTCAGGTCCGAGCCATCCGATGTAATCGCAACTGCTTTTTGGCCTCTCAGCCCAGTAAACTCCTCTTTATTGCTGGGTTCAAGGATAGGGAAATACGGCTCGGTGGCGGGGGTCCGCATCTGCTTCAAATTCGCGTTTTGTATATCTTCCAGAATGCAGAGCACGCCTGTTCGACTCAGGTCCGAGCCATTTGCACACACTCTCTCTTCTTTTTTGCCATCTCACCAATAAATAGATGGTATTAACGGGTGCGAGGGTAAGGAAACAAGGCTTGGTAGCGGAGGGTCCGCATCTGCTTCAAATTCGCGTTTTGCATAGTTTCCAGAATGCAGAGCAAAGCCTGTTCGATTCAGGCCCGAGCCATTCTCTCTTCTCAAATTTTATTTTGGGCTGCTGACAAACTCACACCTCACCAAGTGCAAAAGTAACGAAATAAGGCTCGGTAGCGGAGGGTCCGCGTCTGCTGTCAGTGGCCAAGAGCAACGAGATTAGTATGCAGAGCATGCCTGTTCGACTCAGGCCCGAGCCATTCGGTGTTGATTATAATGCCTTTTTTCTCTCTCATCCAACAAACTCCCCTTTATTGCTGGGTTCGAGGGTAGGGAAATACGGCTCGGTGGCGGGGGGTCCGCCTCTGCTTTCAATATTATCTTCGATCAATAACTCATGCAGAGTCCGCCTGGCGACTCAGGGCCGAGCCATGTGCATACACTCTTTCCTTCAATTTTTTTAACAACCACCCAATAAACTCAACTATTTAACTAAGTGCCGAACTAAGGAAATAAGGCTCGGTAGCGGAGGGTCCGCATCTGCTTTAAATAATAAAGTATAGGGTGTACTACACAGCAGAATGTGCCTGTTCGATTCAGGCCCGAGCCATAGGCCATCTTCAATTAACCTTTTTAACAACAACCCAATAAACTCATGCACTTCACCAGGTTCCAAGCTAGGGAGCTAAGGCTCGGTAGCGTGTAGTTGGTATACATAATGCAGAGCATGCCTGTTCGACTCAGTCCCGAGCCATTCGCTGGTTATCAGTTAACCTTTTTAACAACCACCCATTAAACTCATCCACTTTGCCAGGCTTGAAGGTAAGGGAATAAGGCTCGGTAGCGGAGGGTCCGCATCTGCTTTCGATAGCGCAGACTTCCATGTCTAGCAGAGCACGCCTGTTCGACTCAGGCCCGAGCCATTCACCTCTTTCCTTGAAATTTTTAACGACCACCCAATCAACTCACTAACCTGACCAAGTTCCAAGCTATGGGAATAAGGCTCGGTAGCGGAGGGTCCGCATCTGCTTTCAATACGACTGTAATTTGAAAATATAATGCAGAGCAAGCCAGGCCCGAGCCATCCACTAATCCCAGACAGTTTTTTATCTCTCATTCAATCAACTCACCCACCTACCCAAGTTCCAGAGTAAGGAAATAAGGCTCGGTAGCGGAGGGTCCACATCTGCTTCCAATATATTGTTTGTATCCAGGGTCATACATAGCAGAGTATGCCTGTTCAACTCAGGCCCGAGCGATAGGTATTCCTGCTGTCATCTTTTGCATCTCATCCCAATAAACTCCTCTTTATTAGCAGGTTCTAGGATAGGGAAATAAGGCTCGGTAGCGGACGGTCCGCATCTGCTTTCAATACCACTGTAATCTGGGAGCATAATGCAGATGCTTGTTCGACTCAGGCCCGAGCCATCCCGAAGTCCGTCCTCCATTTTTTGTCATCTCACCAATAGATAAATGGTATTAACGGGTTCGAGGATAGGAAAATAAGGCTCGGTAGCGGAGGGTCCACATCTGCTTCAAATTCTGATTTTGTAGATTTCACAGAATACAGAGCATGCCTGTTCGACTCAGGCCCGAGCCATTCTTTGTTGACTTCCCTTTTCTTTTTTTGTCTTGGGAACAAGATTCACACCCACCCAAGTCCCTCGGTATGGAAAGAAGGCTTGGTAGCGGAGGGTCCGCATCTGCTTTCAATATATCTGTCATTTGCCAGCATAATGCAGAGCACACCTGTTCGACTCAGGCCCAAGCCATCCATTCTTTCCTCCATTTTTTTTTTTTGCATCTCATCCAATAAACTAACCCACCTACCTAAGCTCCAAGCTACAGAGATAAGGCTGGATAGCGTCAGGCCCGAGCCATCTGCTGCTTTCATTGCAAGACCGGGCACTTAACAAACTCACCCACCTACCCAGGCTCAAGAATAGGGAAATAAGGCTCGGTAGCGGAGGGTCCGCATCTGCTTTCGATAGTGCAGATTTACATGTCGAGCAGAGTGCGCCTGTTCGACTCAGGCCCGAGCCATTCCCTCTATCCTTCAAATTTTTTTTGGGACACCATCTCATCCCAATGAAATCACCCACCTCATCAGGTTCCAGAGTAAAGGGACAAGGCTAGGTGGCGAGGGGTCCGCATCTGCATACAATAATATCCTTCGTGGTTTGTGAATGTAATGCAGAGTACACCTGTCACCCATTTATTCAGTCTCTAGGGCATGGATACAAGGCTCAATAGCGGAGGGTCCGCATTTGCTTTCCCTTTGGTTGCCATTCCTTAATGCAGAGTATGCCTGTTCGACTCAGGCCCGAGCCATTTGCACACTCTCTCTCTTCTTTTTTGCCATCTCACCAATACGTAGATGGTATTAACGGGTTCGAGGGAAAATAAGGCTCGGTAGCGGAGGGTCCGCATCTGCTTTCAATAACTCTTGCCCATCTGTGTATATAGAGTACACCTGTTCGACTCAGGCCCGAGCCATGTAGTGGTGGCAACTTCCTTTTTGTTGTATCGCAATAAACTCACACCTGTCCAAGTTCTACAGTGAGGAACTGAGGCTCGGTAGCGGAGGGTCCGCATCTGCTTTCAATTATGTCCTAATTCTTTATGAACATAATGCAGAGTACACCTGTTCGACTCAGGCCCGAGCCATTCGCCATTTCCTTGAAAATTTTTGCATGCCATCCAAATAAACTCCTCTTTGTTGCCGAGCTCGAGGATAGGGAAATATGGCTCGGTGGCGGAGGGTCCGCATCTGCTTTCGATAGCACAGACTTACATGTCTAGCAGAGTATGCCTGTTCGACTCAGGCCCGAGCCATAGGTATTCCTGCTGCCATCTTTTGCATCTCATCCCAATGGACTCACCAACTAAACCAAGTCCCAGGGTAGGGAAATAAGGCTCGGTAGCGGAGGGTCCGCACCTGCATACAGTCGTTTCTTCATCCGAAGCTCATGCAGAGCACACCTGTTCGACTCAGGCCTGAGCCATTCGCATCTGACACTCTTCTTTTTTTATTTAATGCATGTCGGAAAACTCACCTACCTACCCATGTTCAAAAGCAAAGGGATAAGGGTCGGTAGCGGAGGGTCCGCATCTGCTAAAAATATTAGGTCCAGTCACTTCATATATAGCAGAAGTGACCTGTTTGACTCAGGTCCGAGCCATTCGAGTTGTTGTTTTTTATTTTTATTTTTTAGTTCAAATCCTAATAAACTCGACTATTTAACTAAGTCCCTTGGGTATGGAAACAAGGCTCGGTAGCAGAGAGTCCGGATCTGCTTTCAATACATCTGTCATTTGTAAGCATAATGCAGAGTATGCCTGTTCGACTCAGGCCCGAGCCATAGCCCATCATCAATTAACCTTTTAAACAACTCAATAAATTCATCCAGTTCACCAGGTTCCAAAGTATAGGAAATAAGGCTCGGTAGCGGAGGGTCCGCATCTGCTTTCAATATATCGTTAATTGTGAATATCATACATTGCAGAGAGTGCCTGTTCGACTCAGGGAAACAAGGCTCGGTAGCGGAGGGTCTGCATCTGCTCAAATTGTCGCTGGTGAACTGCAACAGCAGAGTACACCTGTTCGACTCAGGCCCGGGCCATTTATTTGCTCCCTACATTTTTCTTTTTTATCTCATCCCAATAAACTCCTCCTTCTTGCCGGGTTCGAGGATAGGAAAATGAGGCTCGGTAGCAGGGGTCCGCATCTGCTTTCAATATAGCCTTTGCGGAGTGCATGCAGAGTCCGCCTGTTCGACTCAGGCCTGAGCCATTCACCTCTTTCTTCAATTTTCTTTTTTGGCATCTCATCACAATAAACTAACACCTAGCCAAGTCCGAAAGTGAAGGGATAAGGCTCGGTAGCGGAGGGTCCGCATCTGCTTATTATAATTGCGTCGCTCGTAGAGTTCAAGCAGGAAAAGCTAATTGGCAATACCATGGCCAAAAATGCTCCACCTATCCAAGGTCCGCACTGAGGGAATAAGGCTCGGTAGCGGACGGTCCGCATCTGCTTATTATAATCTGCCAGAATTCTGGAATTCACTCAGAGCATGCCTGTTCGACTCAGGCCCGAGCCATCTGCAAGTGCTCTTCGGTTTTCTTTTTTATCTCATCCAATAAACTCGCCCACTTCACCAGACTCTAGGGTAAGCAAACAGGCTCGGTAGCAGAGGTCCGCATCTGCTCAAATTGTCACTGGTGAACTGTAACAGCAGAGTAAGCCTGTTCAACTCAGGCCCGAGCCATCTACTCTTGCCTTCAAAAAAAAAAAATTCATCTCATCACAGTAAACTCCCCTGTATTGCCGGGTTCGAAGGCAAGGAAACAAGGCTCGGTAGCGGAGGGCCCTCATCTGCTTTCAATTTGTTGATATGAAGTTCATACATAGCAGAGTAAGCCTGTTCGACTCAGGTCCGAGCCATTCGCTGGTTCTCCCTTCAATTTTTGTCATTTCATCCAATAAACTAACCCATTTATTAAACATTGAGGGTAGGGAAATAAGGCTTGGTAGCGGACGGTCTGCATCTGCTTTCAATGGATAAGGACATAGAGTGTACTACACAGCAGAGTGCCTGTTCGACTCAGCCCTGAGCCATTTATTGTTCCCCTCTCACTTTTTATTTAATGCATGTCGGAAAACTCACCTACCTACCCAAAATCTGGAGTATAGAAACAAGGCTCGGTAGCGGAAGGTCTGCATCTGCTCCCGATACATTCTCTGACCCCAGTTACGCAGAGCACACCTGTTCAACATGGTGGTAGACATTTCTTTGTTGTTCCAGGTTCCGAATAAATTCCCTTGTATTTCTGGGTTCGAGGATAGGGAGACAAGGCTTGGTAGCGGAGGGTACCGCATCTGTGTTCAATACACCTGCAGTTAGTGAACATAATGCAGAGCAAGCCTATTCGAGTCGAATAGGCTTGCTCTCATCCAATAACCTCACCCACTTCGCCAAGTTCCGAAGTATAGGAATTACGGCTTGGTAGCGGATAAGTATTAACTATAGCAGGTGTCGCATCTGGATTTTTTATTACTCCGCCTACTCTGAGGTTCCCCCCAGGTCGACTTGAATGAAATACTACAGTAATCTCAATCATATACCTGTAGTTTGTGAGCATAATGCAGAGGAAGCCTGTTCGACTCAGGCCCGAGCCCCATGTTCGACGTTCACAATTTCTTGTTTAATTTCCGGTCAGCAAAATTACCTCCATCTAACTTCTGGGGCAAGGAAATCAGGCTCTGTGGTGGAGGCTCTGCATCTGCTTCAAGTCGAAATAATTTCAACGTCAGATGCGCATACATTCCGTAAATTTGTTCGACCCAGGCCCGAGACAATTATGGTGATTCATTTTATCCCATCTCATCGCAATAATGCATCCACCTCAGGGTTTGGACTATGCTGAGGAAATAAGGCTCGGGCAGATGGTGGTTTGGAACAAGGTTCGGAATGATGGATATCAGTCACGGTGATTATGTGACTCGCCGCTTTTTCCTCCACCACACCAAACCACACACCCAAGTAGTACGTGCAGCTGTTCCCTCAACAGAACTATACACAATCCTGCGCATACCACCAGCACTATTGAGATCTCCTGGTCGGCGTTGGGTTCGTGTCAATGCCACCCATCCACACGCCACTGTACCCGATCTCTGCTTTCTCATCACATCTGCTAGCCCTTCTCTTCTCTGTATCGTACGTCGGGTCTCTATACGTCGTTCGAAACGCACGGATATCGTTGAAAGCACCGGTCGCGGGACAGCAAGTGCCCGGAGGCAGCAGGGATGATCCCTCCGTCATCCGCGCGCGTTTAACTGCTGCGACTATCGCGTCGGCGTTCAACTGTGCTATCATCTACTACCTGGTTTTGAAAAATACGCTTCCCTCAGTGCGACATCTCCGTTCCCTCCTCGTCTGTGCCCTACTCATACCCCGGCTAGTCTACGCACACGTTCGCAACTACGCGATCGATCCTCGGCGTCCGCTGGCCAGCTAGTGTTCTCTCATGTCTGCAAACACCGCTCCTGTTCCTCGGGCCATTTTACGCAAGCTACTTGGCATCGGCGCTCCCAGGGCAGACGAACTATTCCCTCAAGCGCGATTTTTCCGACATGTTTTCGACGTGGATCGGGTTCCGTAATTACGTCTGGGTGCGTGCCCCGTGGTAATCGAGTACCTCTGACCGGAGCGCGCACTACAGGGCCCACTTACAGAAGAGGTCGTCTTCCGCGCCTGTGTGCTCGCCGTGTATTCCATGGGCGGTGCAAGCCGCAGGAAGATGATCGCGTTCGCGCCCCTTGTGTTTGGGCTCGGTGAGTGTCTCGAATTTCTTTCGGTCCCGGGGACATTTAATTCTGACCCGCTTTGAAGCACACGTCCACCATGCCTGGGAGACCTACAACCGCTTCGGACGCACTACAGCCGCCTTCAAACGCGCTGCTATTTCCACCCGTGATCTTTCCTTGCAGCCCCAGCGACTCCACTCACTAACGCGCTGTAACTTTATCCAGTCTTCCAAGCGGCGTATACGACGCTCTTCGGCGCACACGCATCCTTCCTCTTCCTGTGCACGGCCTCG